AGAAAAGCAGGCTATGGTATATGTCTGTAACGTTACTAACGAATCTGTTTGCATCACAAGATATCGTGTTCTCTTAGGAGAACATCATTTTCGTATCCATTAGCATGACAAGTGGTAACAGAACATTATAATTACATCGTGCACTTGTGCGTGCGAGAGATTAAAAGGCGGTAAACGTATCAACTGAATACGAAATTATTTTGACACGTGACTGCTAACAAGGGATCTTCGGTAACTCAGAAATTTCGATTTTCTTTTTAAACTATGTCAGTTTGCAGGGGACACTGATAGAAGTATCGTGCAATTTTTCTTATCGATACTTTTTTGTTTTAACTGTCGAGGTGTGATTTCCTAGTTTCGTGTATATCTTGAAAACTATGCTAAATACATATAAAAAAAATTGTTAGAATGAAAATTTAACGACCTCTTTATGCTCTATAAAAGTGCCATAAAAATTTTAATGTTTTACTAAAAAAAACCTCTCGCACCAATTTTTATCATTTTGTCGTGTCAAAAAGTATGCAGAACTTCATTGTAAATACAGTTCTAATAAGTGTATACTATTTCTTGAAGAAACACACTGTATCTAAAGTTTCATATAAAAAATTGACGTTTTATACGCGCCAACCTAATATAAGGGGTTTTTTCACCCTGAAGAATGAAAAAGTAGCAAGAAATGGTACTTTTATCGAAGTCCCCTACAAACCAGCAAAGTCTGAATTTTCAAAGGTACAAAAATTCCCTTATAAACAGAAAGAGACAATTTCACCAACAAATCATATTACTCTCTCTTATTTGTGCAGTTGTTCAAGTCATTAGAAGAAACATGACGTTGCAAAGGGAAAGGGATTTCTAATTTTCCTCTTTCGCTCGACACGTTTACTTGTCTTCCGCGTGACATGAGACCACGAGAGAACAGCAACGGGTTACCAAAACAAAATCGCAACAAATTCCGGTGTGCAATCAGCGAACGAGTCCCAGGCAAAAAGCGATCGTCGAGTCGATCGTAAGCCCCCAATGTGTCATGATTTTCGGAATTATACGGGTGCTCGTTTAAAACCAGCCCGATTAACGCGAATCAACTTATTAGCGTCCGATATGCGCAAATCAGAATTACAATTCGTTCATTCGTTCTTTTTCCCCTTTTTTTTTCGAAACTTTGTTCAGCGAAAGCTAGGCTACAAATCTCGCGCGAAAATCCCCGACGTTTTTCACGCCGCATGCATTTAACCACCTTTCCTCAGCTATCGTTTGATCTTCAATCGGCGAATAATGGGGAACAATTGCGCGAACTACGGGAATAGTGAATGAATTGGAGTTTCAGTGAATAGTCACACTGTTTGGAAATGTACTGCGCTTTCACAGACTATTTCGACTCTATATCGAAACAGAGATATCAACACTTTCGTAAATACGTTTTTTTTTTCCTCCAAAATTTGTTATTTATCTATCAATTTATTGAGTCTGCGATGGATCCTAAATTGAGTTCAATTTTTGTTCGAGTACTCAAGTGGGAGTTAGAAAGGGTTAAGTAAGTTAAAATTAGTGTTTTCCTTAATTCTATATGACACTGTATTTATATTGATGTTAAATTAATTTGTTGCCAATGTATAAACTGTGAGACAAATTGCGTTTAGTATTCATAAACAGGATAAAGCTAGGATAGAGAATACAATAATGTAAAATGGAGTATAGTGTGTGCAGATTTAAATAAATAACTACCAGATAATAAAAGTGAATCAGATAAGAAGTTGTGTAGGTATAATAGATTATATTTTTCTGTTCACCTAACACTTATCTTTTCACTATTAGAAGGAATAAGGGTTTTAAAATGGTTACACTGCAATATTGGGGAATTTTTATTAAACAAATAATATATTTTATATATGGAGAATACTTTTTTTGGTAACCACATCACTGAAAAACTGATTTCTATGATTTAAAGTGAAGAATAATTTTTTACAATAAAAATTATT